CAAAAAGACGGCATAAAGGCCTCTGCCAGGAAATAAGAAAGTAGGATATCAAAACCGACTGAGGTGACTTCAGGGCATTATTGTGCACCAATTGGAAAACAATGATTACCCTGCCTGTTCTTAAGCAAACAAAATATATTTGTCCTTACTATATATTCAAATACATTACTCTTATTCTTTTAGATGCAAGTATTGTAATAAATAGCTACCAAATAAACAGTTGTTAGTACTGTTAAAATTATTGTTAGGTATTTCATATTGCTAAATGGATTCTGGAGCTTTATTAAGAAAACCACTAGAAAATACACTTCTGTGACTACCACCATATTAAGACTGAAGTTGCAATTTCCTTAACTTATATTATGCATTAAAAATACCAAAATTTAAAATAGTACATCTTTATAATCCATAGAAAGCCTAAAAATCAATAATCAGATAAGAAAACCTAATGTGAATATCAAAATGGTTTATATGAAAAATAACTTATTATACCTAATATATAAAATTGGACACTATTATAGCTAACCAGAGAGTTTACAAGGTTTAATTGTTTATCGCTGAATAATAATATTGCAAATTAAAGGTGTCAAGTCTGAAATGTCAGTCCAGCTCTTGATATTTCAAATGTGTAATCAACACCTCTACCTACAAAATACGGTTGGACTAACCCTCCCTGCCCGGAGGAGCTCTCATTCCATTCATGGTGGAACCTATTATTTAAGCATTAGTTATCATAACAATTTATGCATTATTACAAGCATACTCAGACTCACAAGAATTGCAGCCCAGGCTTATGCATTCATTTAAAGGTTTAGAGAAAAGTATATACATCTCAGCATCTCCTAGTGTTGTACTGCTACTGTATCTAGGCATATTGAAATACTTCCTAATACAAAAAAGAAAAGCTTCTGTGTTTTTATTGTTGTTTTGCTGTCATCCACTGCAAAGCTGCTTTCTACAAGATGCAATAAAAACAGTAAGTTGTAAGGAGTCAGAAAAAAATCCAGGCTTAAACACCAGCTCTGCCACTACCCAACTGATTAGGCTTGGACAAGTTAACTCATCATTCTAAGTCTGCTTGCCTTCTTCATGGGCTGAGCTTGGGAAAAGGGTATGGGAAAAGGCCTATGTGTCTTGAACCAAACTTCCTAACTGGCCTTTCCTCCTTCCTCCTACCCCTTCTAAAATGTCTGGAGCTGAAATTCCTAACTACACTTTTCTCTTTCCTTCTTCCTCACCAGTTTTGCCTTGCTGAGTTTTTGGATGGTAGTAGTGGCAGCATGCTCAATACCTAGCTTTGGGCTGACATACCAGGGAGGGATGAACTCACATGTCTGGGGCCAAGCTTTGAGCCACAGTAATCTGCTTACATATGGGGGGATGGAGCAAGTAAGTATAAACATTGACAATAAAGGAAGCCAGATTTCCTACTGCTGAACACACATATGCACATTTGCTTATACACACAAATTCTCCAGGTTCTCTCTGCTGAAAAGGGCTATTAATGAACACTTCTAGTGCCCAGAGCTTGTTCCTATATATGACTTACCACTAAAGAAACCAAAATTCCTGGCAGAAATGGCTGATTCCAAGGCAGGTCAGGAAAATACAAGATAAGCATGGCACATGTTGTCATGCCAAAAAATAAGGAAGTGATCAAAGAATGATAAATGCATGTCAAAAGGGGGCTTCTATTGGCCAAGTCTAGGAAAATCTGAAATCAGAATTTAAAAATAATAGCAATAGGCTGGGAGCCATGACTCACACCTGCAATCTCAGCACGTTGGGAGGCTGAAGCGGGTGGATCACAAGGTCAGGAGTTCAAGACCAGCGTGACCAACATGGTGAAACCCTGTCTCTATTAAAAATACAAAAATTAGCCAGGAATGGTGGCGCCTGCCTGTAATCCCAGGTACGGAGGAGGCTGAGGCAGGAGAATTGCTTGAACCCAGGAGGTGAAAGTTCAGTAAGCCGAGATCTTGCCACTGCACTGCAGCCTGAGCAACAGAGCAAGACTTCATCTCAAAAATTAAATGAATAAATAAATAATAATAGTAAATATTAACCCTTGATTAAAATAAGAACTCATGAGTCTATACTGATATAAACAAATAAACAAGAAATATATGATATAGCAGGGAAAACTCTACCTTACAGTAAAATGCCAACTAATAAACCTAGAAGGATTGATAACGTTAGAAAATTATCATTTGGTATCCATCACAGTAATAACAGATTCAAACAAGAATCAGTGGATGCTAAATCTGGTAGAATGTATGATGAGAAATAGAATTTATAGTCTCAAAGCTTCTCCTTACAAGTCACAAACTTCTCCCCACAAAACATACATTGCCTATTAATTTATGAGTGTGACATATGTACTAATTCACCTTATAACAGAGAAACCTGGCAGATACAATCTTAAAGAAATAGAAGTTAACATCAGGAAGCCATGGACTAAATCAAGATCATGTGACACCTAAGAGGATTCACTGATTGAAGTATAGCATCCCTTCTATGATGTTCCTGTCAAGGGGTCACAAACATGAGGAAGCATCAGTCAAAACTATATTGGAACACTTAATCACGTAACCAACCCGTAGTCCTCAAAAATGTCAAAGTCATGAACGATAAGGCTGGGTGCGATGCCTCATACCTGTAATCCCAGCACTTTGGGAGACCAAGATCGCTTAAGGCCAGGAATCTGAAACCAGCCTGAGCAACCCAGCAAGATCTTGTCTCTTCAATATATATATTACATTATATATATATATATGAAAAACAAGATTGGCAACTATTCCAGATTGAAAAAGACTGAAGAAGCTTGATAAATAAGAACGCGTAATCCTGGATTAGATCCTAGATCTAAATTGGAAATGATTGGGATAAATAGGGTAATTTAAGTAGAGTCCATAAATAACATGGTGTAAAGAACTTAGTGTATATCCCCCAGAATCCATACGTTGATGCCCTAACCCCCAATGTAGCTGTATTTGGATTAGGAAGTAATTATAGTTGAATGAGGTCATCAGGGTGGGAACCTGATCTCATGGGATTGGTGTCATTACAAGATATATCAGAGCTAATTTACTTCAATCTATGTAAGGACACAGCAAGATGGCAGATGTCTGCAAACCAGGGAGACCCCTCACCAGGAAGTGACCAAGTGATACCTTGGTCTTGAACTTTCCAGCCTTTAGAACGGTGAGAAATAAATACTTCTGTTGTTTAAGCAACTGGTCTGCGATATTTTGCTATTGGTAGTCCAAGCTGACAATATAAGGTAATACTGGATAAATATTAACTTGTTGATTTTGATGCCTGCTTTGTGGTTTGGAAAGAGTGTCTTCATAATAATAAATAAGTAAGTATACAGTTCTGAAACATCAAGTCTAAAATCCATTCTCAAATGGTGTAGAAATGATAAAGATTGAAGAATCTTTATCATTCTCTAATGTTGAAGGGTATACAAGAAATTTGAGTACTATTATGTTGTAGAAATATGTAATAAACATATGTTTAATATCTTTGTTAATTGGACATTGAACTAAATGATGTTCTATGCATTTCATTCACAATATAAGTAAAAAAACCAAAATATTTTACTTGTCATACAAAAGTATTTCATAAACATGAACTGTCATTTCACATTATCATCTTAAGATCAGATATGATGCATATTTTCTTTTAATAAAGTAGAAAGCTACAAAGACCAACACCATTTCATTGCTATCAATATTACTGTACACAAGAGTTTCCTTTTGCAGTTATTATACAAAAAATAAAATACTAGAGTCTAAGACAAAGACTGTATTACTGATATATATTCATACTGCTACAAGGAAGGAGTGCCTGGAGAAAAACAATGGTGAGAGGAAATGTATTGTTGGTGTCAGGGATTTCAGTCTATGCTGTAAGAAAATTAAACTATGAGAAATCTCATCCTAGAAGAGCTGAGAATCTTGTACAAGAACCAAGATGCAGGCAGATGAAAAGGATTTTCAAATATTGTGGTAACACAATATGAATAAATCTGTAGAATCATGGAGACCTGAAATTTTTGAGACAGTATGCCAGTGTAAAGAAAGAAGTCAGAAGGTATTTAGATTTTATTGGTTCTGCAGTTTTCCGGCCCTGTGACCTCAAGTTAACCAATTACTCACTCAAGGTGACCATCATCACTCACGTGGACTATTGCAATGCTTCCTAACTGTTCTACTTCCATTCTTCCACTACCTTTAATCCATTCTCCACAAAGTAACCAATACCTTTTTAAAAATGTGAGTCAGATTATATCACTTATATACGTCAAACATTCCAGTAGCTTCCTTTTACTTTTAGAATAAAATCCAAACCCTTGGACTTGGCTTAAAAGGCTCTGTATTATCAGGTCTTTGTTACCTGTTCTGACCCCATTTCCTACCACTTTTCACTGTGTTAGGAACACACTGGCCTCCTTTCTGTTATTCAGTCATTTCTAGCTCTTTCCTTCCCTTGGGCCTTTGCTTGGCCTGGAATTGTCATCAAACAGTAGTTCCTTATCATCGTTCAGGTCTGAACTCAAATGTCACCTCTTCAGAAGGGCCTTACTTTACTACCCCTTCTCAACACTCTCAATGACATTATGTTATTTCATTGTCTTCACTGCACAGATTGTTATCTGAAATTCCCTTATTTAGGTAACTGTTACTTGATTATCTTCTGAGTCCTTCAGTAGAAAGGTCACTCCATCACATAAGTGATCTTCCAACTTGTTCTGTGCTATAGAGCCAGCAGGTCTATTAATGTCAGGCCTACAGCTGAGGGTGCAATAAATAAATAAAATGTTAAATGACTTAAAGTTTCTCAGGCCTCCAACTTCCTCATCCACATGGTGGGGATAATTATATCTGCTCTGGCCATTAGAAATGGCTAGATAGCAAGTAGAAATACAGCCTAACTAAATTCTTACTATGCCTCGGGCATCATGAAAGTTACGTTATATGAATATTCTCACTTACTGTTATGATTTCCATGTCACAAGTAAGGACACCAGGTCTTAGAGAGGCCAAGTAACTGGCCTACGAGTCCTGGGCCATAGTGAGGAGTCGGGTAAAAATCCAGAACCTTCTAACCTCAGAAGCTGAGCTCTTAACTGCTATAGTATAGTTTCTAGAAAGATGCTTCCTTCTATGACAGTAAACTCCGCTACGCTGTTTGCTCCCCTCCAGCTTGTCCTGTGGGACAACTCAAGAAAGCTATTACATGGCCCCACGTAGTTCTTTTCTCTCAGTCTTTCCTTTCCTCATATCTTGGTCACTCTCTCCCGAACAAACTTCAGCTTGACAGCCTTCCTCCCGCTCCAGCTGCGGGGATTTCCACTGGGCAAGTCGTAAAGGGGCATCAGAGCAGGGGAAGCCGACTGTCCACGGGCTGAGGAAATGCAGGTGTCGTGTGTGTCCAAGAGGTCTGCGGTTAACTCAGCAAGGCTTCCTAAGAGAGGCGATGATCCCTGAACCAAGTCGAGGGTAGTAAGCACAAGAGCCAGCGGCCAGGGGACCCCAGGAGAAAAGACCGCGGGAGAACGCCGCCAGGGCTGCTGGGTCGAGACAAAGGCTGGTGGAGTTTAAAAAGATCACAGGCACAACCCCAAGTGATGGCAAGCTTGCACGCGGACGAGCAAAACGCGTTTTCTTAAACGTTGGAGAAGCCCTGGCGGGAAGCGAGAGGAACAGTCACAAAGCAAAACGCAAACTTACCCGTAAGCTAGCAACCCGGCCTCCGTAGCCCGACTATAGGCGCTGCCACCTGAGGAGCCTGGTAGCCAAAGCAGCGGCAGGCTCAACCCAGATCTCGCGATACATACTAAGCCTCGCGAGATTTGACTGCTCGTCCGTGAGAGGCGGGTGGGTGTTCGTTCTGGGTGTTATGGGTGGGGTCTGGCATACGGCATGGAGGCGTCTCTTTTTCTGTGGCTGGCACTCGTTTCACCGTGGGTCTACAGCGCGGCCTGCAGAGAGGGTAGAGCCGTTTCTTAGGCCAGAGTGGAATGGGATAGGAGGTGCCGAGAGAGGACTGAGGCTGCTGGGGACATGGAAGCGCTGCAACCTTGGAGCCAGGGATCCGGCAGTGCAGCCGTCGCGGCGGCCTAAGAGCTCGAACCCTTTCAGGCGCGCACAGGAGGAGGAATGGCGGCGGCGGAACAAGACGGCCCTCACTTACGTGGCCGCGGTCGCCGTGGGCATGCTGGGGGTGTCCTACGCCGCCGTACCCCTTTATCGGCTCTACTGCCAGGTAGGGTCGGCGTTGCCCGCGTAGTGGCGCGGCGCGAGAGGTTGGGTTGCAGGACAAATCCCGGGACATCCCTCGCTCTGCGAGTTGTTGGTGGAAGAGGTTTCCCATATTATCTACCTAAAAGGAGAGAAGTTCAAAACAGCCACTTACCCAAAGCAACCAAAGATATTGGTGGCAAAACTGCAAGTAGCACGGAATTCTTCTCAGTGATTGTGCTTATTCCACGCTGCAGAGTGCAACTGCCTGATGTATGAGCTGCATCTCACCAAAAAAGTCCGCAGCCTTAACTTCCTGCGCACACACGCTTTTAAAATGTGTATTATTCATACATTCACTCTGCAGACCACATGTGATTTTCCAGAGGGTATAACTCTGGAAATTGGAGCATTAATTAGTCCTTTGAGGAGCTCTCGCCCTGCCCCTCTTAATATGTAACTGTAATGTACTTAACCTGGACTCTGTTAAGTACATTGCAGCGGTTCTGGGAGTTTGGCGCCCAAGACCGGCAGCATCAGCATCACCTGGGAACCTGTTAAAAGTGCAAATTCTAGGGCCCTACTCCAGGACTGAGTCAGAAACACGGGGGGCGGGACCAGCAATCTATATTTTAGTAAGTCCTATATAGTTGATTTTGAGGCCAAGTTTTGAGAACCACTGGCAAGGTCAAGTTTCATGTATTTCATAGATTTCTCCTTTGTTCTTAGTAATTTGCAGCTTTGGCTGGGCATTAGGATCACCTGTGGAGCTTAACGTTAAATACACGTTCCAGGGATCCCCTTCCCCAGAGATTCTGGTTAGGAAGCCTAGGATAGGGACAAGAATTTCGGTTTAAAAATCATTCCACAAGAGCTACACATTGCGTTCATTCAATGTGTTTAAAATAGTGGCTCCTAAAATTCGCTGTACAGCAGCATTGGGAATCACCTGGAGAGCTGCTAAAAATCCACACACATTATTCATTTTATCACAATACCAGAGTGGGAACCAGGCATCAGTAATTGTCAAGTAGGTTTTAGGTGATTCCAATGTGCAGGAAAGTTTTTTAACACCATGACTGGTATTCTTAGCTGGAGTTCATTCTTATTTTGTGTGTGTGTGTGTGCGTGTATTTAAGTTTGTAGAGGCGAGGTCTCCCTATGTTGCTTAGGCTGGGCTCAAGCAATCCTCCTGCCTTGGCTGGGACTGCAGGCCTGAGCCACCATGCCCAGGCTGGGAAGATCAATTTACCTTTCTTTCAGATGATGAAGCAGCAGAAGACAAAAGTACTTTTCTTTTCTGGCATAGTCTCTAATGCCAGCATTTATGTGGAAATTGCAATAGTTGATTTCTGAGGATGAGTATAGAATGTGAATTTACTTATCATTAGAGGCCAAGCCCAAGCATGAATTATAAAACTACCAATTAGTTAAGTCATGAGCATAACTGAACCAAATCAGCAAATCTGGATCCTTCTCAAACCACTGGCAGCTGGAGGAGTGATTTTTGTTCCTTAGGGAACATTTAGCGATGTCTGAAGACATTTTTGGTTGCCACAACATGGAGGGTGGGGGATATAGGGTGCTACTGGCATCTAATAGGTAGAGGCTAGGAATGCTACTAAATAACCAACAAGGCACTGCCCCACCCCCAAATAAATTATTCAGCTCAAAATGTACATAGTGCCAAAATTGAGAAACCCTGTCCCAAACTGAAATAACTGATAATATTGTATGTGAAATGTGTCCATGTGCAATTATAGGTGAGGAAGGCAAATGTAATTTGTAGTCTGTTAAATTCTTAGAGCTAGTTAGTAGTACAACTAGATTAGAGACCAGGACATCTTTTTAGTTCTCTTTTCTAGTCTTCTTATCTATTTTACTTTCTCTAGGCATTGAACTTAGAAATTGGAAGAACTCATATTCAAAGAATATATCAGGGAATCTTTATTAAGGGAGGACACTTAAACATATTTTTATTCAAGTGACTTAAATTCTTCAGGAAAAGGAGTTACTTCTTAAACATTATAGCACGCAGGCAGAAGGATATGCAAGGATAAAGCTTTGCCCTCTGATGCATCTTTTAGAGATACAATATAATTCAGTAATGTTGCATGGCAGTTGAATGAAGTTAGTTGCCTTGTGTAACAAACAGAAGATGCTAACACTGTATCTTGCTGGGAGTCATCCCCTAGCCTCAAATTTGCTTTTTTTTTTTTTTTCCCCCTAGCATAGTAACAGGCAAATTATCTGGAAATCAGAATTCTGGCAACCTCAAGTATCAGAAGAAAGATGACCTTGGACGTAAGGGCTTTTTCTTTAAAAGTACCTGATGACAAGGAAATAACTATCATGAATAAATGAAATGTCAGACACAAATATTCTTGATGCCCCATGATTATTTGATTCTGTGGCCATAGGGATTAGGTGCTCTGATGAGTGATTTATATAAAAGCTCTACTATACAGAGAAAGATCCAAAAATATAACCAACATGGGAAAATACGATGCAGAATATATTAATAGAAGTGAAGCTACAATCTAATTTGGATTATAAAAGCTGTGATATGGAAAAGGACCAGTCAAGAATATGGAAAAATGGAATTATTTAAGTATTTTCAACGAAATTGAAGTCATGGGTAAATTTTATTTCTAATAATGACTAATAGTTAATATACTAGCAATAAAGGGAATTTTTTTTTTTTTAATAAATGGCTTAGCTGAAAATTGTGAGTTCTATTGTAAGTGATAATAGTTCCCTTATCTAGTGAATCACAATACCAGAGTGGGAACCAGGCATCAGTAATTGTTAAGTATGCTTTAGGTGATTCCAATGTGCAGGAAAGTTTTTTAACACCATGACTGGTATTCTTAGCTGTAGTTCATTCTTATTATGTGTGTGTGTGCACGTGTATTTATTTGAGTTTGTAGACTCGAGGTCTCCCTATGTTGCTTAGGCTGGGCTCAAGCTTTTCCCAAATGACTCATTTGTGACCATGCCAGGTAACCAAGGGATTACTGAAAAATAGGAATGACTTTAACAAATACAGGCTCATGACATCCCAAAAGTGGTCAGAATCTTGCCATGGTTACACAAATGGTTAGTATGTAAACTTGGCTCCAAATGAATTATTAATACTAAATTGTTTTTAAACTTTTTATCAAATAAATAGATCATCAACACCTAAAAGTATTAACATGTTTGGTATCTTTTTCTAGACTACTGGACTTGGAGGATCAGTAGTTGCAGGTCATGCATCAGACCAGATTGAAAACATGGTGCCTGTTAAGGATCGAATCATTAAAGTTACCTTTAATGCAGATGTGCATGCAAGTCTCCAGTGGAACTTTAGACCTCAGCAAACAGAAATATTTGTAAGTGACTAACCAGTCATTAAAAGATTACTTTATTAATGTAAATTCCTTTTTTTCTTCACATAAACTGTCAGAGGACTGCTTTTAACAATGCAGTTCTAATAAAACATGGCATTTTCCCTTGTTCCAAACTGACTTTTACTATCATGTAACTTAAAAGTTAACATATAAATTGTTACATTACGTGTAAGGCACTATCAAAAAGTAGTCTGTGGGAATAAAAAAATTGATAGTAATGGAACCTGTCAGTATTTTGAAATAAAGTTTAGGTGAGTGAAACAGTTGGGAGTAGCAGTAGCTGTCAGGCCATACAGCTTCCTGACTTCCTTTGGCATAGAAGACATGGGAAAATCATTGGTTACAATGAGTAGTTTACTGATTTATATAAAAGGCATCCCTGTCCTTCGAAAAGAAAAATAAATTGAGGGCCTTTGAAGTAATCGATAGTAAATAGTTATACTCCAGTGAGACTAAGTGAGACTGTCCTAAAAGCTTTCCTAAAATTTTAACCAACTGTAATCTTGGGAAGATTTTAACTGATACCTTATTAACTGACGATTAGCCAGTGGAGTTAATTTCAACTCATAATGGAAAAGCCTTATAAATATTAGTGCTTGCCCAGTTTAGTAAACATGACAATCTCTTTAATAATTAAAGATTTTATAGGTTATGATTATGAATATTATCCAATTACATGGTGGTATACAAGGTATTAGTGGCTGAATTGGTACAAGTGACAGAATATCCTTTGGAAATTTTAAGCTTTGCTATCTTCTTATTTTCTCCAAATAAAGTATTAACACTTGTTTGGCATAATAAAGGTTATAGTCAGTCAGTTTTATTATGGTTTTAAGGTAAGTTTAATGTTGATTTTTTTAAAATCTAGTCAATCGTGACTTTCAGGTATAAGTGTTACAGAAAGGTTGGGCTTGGGCTGTGATATGATTGGGTTGGACACATTTTAAATAATGTAATTTGCAGATTATTCCTTGAAGACTTCAAATATATAAGAGGACAATTCATAACTATAGATATTAGAACATTGGTTCTTCATTGACATATGCAAGTAAGTTTTAAAGTCAGATATGTTTGTGGGTAATACTCAGTTTATTTTGCTGAACCCTGCATCAGATTAGGTATTATGGTCTGATAAATGGGCAAAATAATTAGACTAATCTAGCAGGAAAAAGAGGGACTGTGTGAGATTTAAAGTATTGATAATTTATATCCTTTAAAACAGGTGGTTCCAGGAGAGACTGCACTGGCATTTTACAAAGCTAAGAATCCTACTGACAAACCAGTAATTGGAATTTCTACATACAATGTTGTTCCATTTGAAGCTGGACAGTATTTCAATAAAATACAGGTACAACAAAATGTAAACTTTACAAAATATGATAAAGGTACATGAAACTTAGTGTTTTAGTAGATCTTGTGGTTTCTGAAAACTAATTTCTTCTAAACATCAAGCTATTTTTCTTCATTATCTATACTTGCTATGCAGAGATTGAGAACCAAACCAAATGGATATCTGCTTCTAAGATTAGAATTTGTTTTTGATCCTTAAAGCAGAACTCATTGAGATGAAAAGATGCTCTTATTTTATCACAGAACTCTGTATTTAACAGTATGCTTATTAAAGTCAAGAAGTGTACTGGAATGATAAGTGAACTCTATTAGTTTCTGTTATGTAATATGAGAATAGAAATGTTATTAAACAAAATCTTCTTATAACTTCTAGTGCTTCTGTTTTGAAGAACAAAGGCTTAATCCCCAAGAGGAAGTAGATATGCCAGTGTTTTTCTACATTGATCCTGAATTTGCCGAAGATCCAAGAATGATTAAGGTTGATGTTATCACTCTTTCTTACACTTTTTTTGAAGCAAAAGAAGGGTACCAGTTGCCAGTTCCGGGATATAATTGAAGTCAGCAACTAAGTCTTCCTTCAAAGTTGTGGTTTTTGGGAAAATAATGTATCCTGTCTTCTCAGAGGAGAAATATTGTACAATAATTTGAAGCCTTATATTTTAAATAGCTATTTTTTTCTCAACTAATTTATTTCACTTAAAATTGAGAGAACAGGTTTAGCTTTTATCATAAGAAACCCACATGTCTAGCTAGAATGTATGACTGACTATTCAATCCCATACTGAAGAATTTGAAAGTGTTAAAACAAACCGCTTTGTTTTTTAAATATGGAGGCATGGACTTAATGGTTCGGCTTAAGTCCATGCCTTAATGGTTCCCTTCTAGATTATTAACTCTTCATAATTATAGCAATGAATCTGAGAAGGTTTTCAAAAATATATGCTCAGGGTTATTTGTTTCAAGTCATAGGCCAGTACTTCTGACCATGTTTATTATTATGTCTAAAAGAGTTGGTTGCTATTTTGAACAGTCAATATTTTAAAAGCTCAAAGTAGGAGTCACTAAGCCCTAACAGCTTGTCCAAAGATTTAAATTCTTATTTCAAATTTGACTTTTTGTCCTTTAAGATCTAGGGCTATTTTATATTCAGAATTCTGAATAATTACTTTGAAATTGTCCTATCATGAAATTGAAATAAAGTAAGTATATTTACTAGGCTGCTAGCTTTTACCATCATCATTACAAGTCCATGAATGTTAAAATGTACAGGTGGGATTGTGATGTACTGACATCAGAAGTTCTTCCGGGAACAAACTTTGTAAAAAAAAAAAAAATGTATTAAATTATTTTATTTTTCATCAAATGTAATACTTATTCTGAATATTTTCCAGTTGTCTGTGTTCCAAATAGAAATGTTAAGTTATAGTAAAAAGAGAGAAAAGACTATTTAGCATTACAAAGAATCAAAAAACCCATCCAATGCAGAGTCTAGTGACCTGTTCAGGACACCTAAAATATAATTAAATGACAATCATCAAGGCTTTAACAATTTATAATTCTAAACCAGAGGATTATTTATAAAGAAGTGCAAATTGACTTTTACATTCAACTTTAGTTAAATGAAGGCACTCAGTATTTATGCTTCCAGAATAATACATTCAGTTTCTCACATTTTATGCTTTCATCTATTCAGAATTATTTTATAGTAAGATAATCTCTTATCCACAGCTGTGTGATGATTTGTAAATGTAGGAAGGCCTGTGAAACATATGACACTGCAGTTAAATTGGTTGCCTAAGGACTAAGTAATTTTTTTTCTGCTAAAGTTTTAAGTTGAGTATTTGTTCCAAACAAGTTCTGTTGAAATCTCACGCTGTTGTCAGGAATCACTGTTATCCTGGAACTGTTAGTCTTCTGTTTAAGCTTCATTATAGCAGAAATGTTCCACCATGGCTCTGACATGTTGGTAGGTAGGTATTGTCCAGGCCTCAAAGCTGCACAGTCTACTCTTTAGAGAGTTGGCATCTTTGATGTGGCTAGTGAGGTGATCGTCCTCTTTCTTCTAGAATAGAGAAGAAAATGTCCAGTATTCATCCTGTCCTTCTCTATCCCCATTTCTTGATAACTCTTGTACTTGTCTCTAGCGGGAGGCTGGAGAGCCACAGTCTAGCAGAAAAAAGGTAAGAATGTACTTCTTCCACAGGGGAGGGATAAGAGGAATAAATAAGTTTAATAGTTCATTGGTGACCGTTAAATAGTAAATACATGGGATCAGTAGTGCTGAAAATAGGAAAAACTCAAGACCTATTTGGAGGAGTAATAGTAAATGGGTCTACTGGTACCAGTTAACAAATATTAATGGCACATGAAAGACAAGTGCCTGACTTGTTCATCTATTTTTGTTAGCACTAATATTTCTATACCATAAAGTAACTAATGCATTCCCAAGCCTTATTATTTACAGATGACAGAAGCACAAAGAATGAATTTCATTAGTGAATAATGGCTCCCCATAATTTGAGTGATTCAGGGGAACTCATATTTCAAAGTGTCAGACTCAGATGGCCTTTACAAAATATAAATACTAAACATGTAAAGTGAAAATTATACTGAAATTATTTGTAATATGGAATTAAGCTGTGTAAGTTGAAGTTTTTACCTCAGTCAACATGATTCTGAGCTCCTTTGTGCTGGTGAGCGTCAATTTCTTCATAAATAGCTCTGAAACAAAGCCATCACAGCAAAAGGATTATATATCCATTTCAAAGTGCAATTTTGGTTTTTAATTGCCAGTACCATAATTAAAAATTGAGCTGTTTTGGAGTTCAGGCTACATATGAGTAAAAACAATCTCTGCCCTGAATTGTATATTCTAGTTTTCTTAAATTGTAATGTTACACTTCCCTTATTTTTTATTTATTTATTTATTTTTTGAGACAGAGTCTCACTCTTGTTGTCCAGGCTGGAGTACAATGGTGCTTTCTTGTCTCACTGCAACCTCTGCCTCCCAGGTTCAAATGATTCTCCTGCCTTAGCCTCCCAATTAGCTGGGATTACAGGCACATGCCACCATGCCCAGCTAATTTTTTTGTATTTTAAGTAGAGACGAGGTTTCACTATATTGGCCAGTCTGGTCTCGAACCCCTGACCTCAGGTGATCCACCCACCTTGGAGGGCCAGGATTACAGGTGTGAGCCATTGCGCCTGGCCTTAATATTGCAATTCCTGTGCCTTTTTTTTTTTTAAGTTTTAAGATGGAGTTTTGCGCTTGTTGCCTAGGCTAGAGTGCAGTGGTGCAATCTGGGCTCACTGCCATCTCTGCCTCCTAGGTTCAAGCAGTTCTGCTTCAGCCTACTGAATAGCTGGAATTACAGGCATGTGCCACCATGCCCAGCTAATTTTGTATTTTTAGTAGAGAAGGGTTTTTTTTCATGTTGGTCAGGCTGGTCTTGAACTCCTGACCTCAGGTGATCTGCCTGCCTCGGTCTCGCAAAGTGCTGGGGTTACAAGGGTGAACCACCACTCCCAGCCTCCTATGCCAATTAAAAGTATGTATTTTATAGAACCAATTCATTTTTTCTTGTGATTTAAATGAAAAATATGGCTCAAATTTGGAGTTTACATTTTTACTTAAAAAACTCTTCAATTTCTTCTGGTTTCAAACATTAAAAAAAAATTACGCCAAGTACAGTGGCTCACACCTATAATTCCAGCACTCTGGGAGGCTGAGGTGGGTGGATTGCTTGAGTCCAGGCTGAGGTGGGAGGATCACTTGAGCCTAGGAGGCGGAGATTGCAGTGAGCTGAGACCGTGCCACTGCACTCTAGCCTGAGCTACAGAATGACACTCTTGTCTAAAATAATAATAATAATAATAATAATCTTCCAGCTTATTTAACTTATGTGATTAAAATACAGGCGCCTCAAGCCACCTATAGCTCATCACTCTCATTTCTGTGCTTTTCTTTATATTGTATTTTTTTTTTTATGACATCCTTCATTCTTTTTTTGAACTCTGTCACCCAGGCTGGAATGCAGTGGTGCAGTCATGGCTACTGCAGCTTCAGCCTCCTAGGTTCAAATGATCCTCCCACTTCAGCCTCTTAAAATATTGGGATTAGAGGCATGAGCCACCATGCCTGACTCATTCAATTCTTTTTATGTATCTTACATATATCTGTAGCTGGAAAATATCTATACCTGAAACCACAACATTCATATACACAATATAGCAAAATATGGCTGAGGAAAAGCCTCAAAAATCACAGCACTATGAAACCATAATCACCAAGTTCATAAGGCCCCAGAATGGTCCTACAATTTTAATGTTTCCTTAAAAAGTCTGGTCTCTTATCTCCCTCAAAACGATGTCAGCCTTCTTCATTCTCCTCATACCTCTGACTTCTCTGGTAGAAACCTCATTCTTAATACATTAAATGTCTTGATATGAAAACTTCCTCATCTTCCCATCACTAAATCTTTAAGTTTCTTCATTTGTATTGTCCTTTATTTCTGTGATCCTATCTACTCCAGGCTTCTTAAGCACTTCACCCATTCAGTTATTCTCCCCTTCCTGAGTCTTCAGCCTCTCCTTCTGTGGCAGGTCCTATTCCTCGACTTTCACAGATTCTCCAACATCTCCCATATCTTCTATTTTATACAAAGTACGATCTTTAATTCTACCTCTACTTGTAGCAAATGCCTTGGTATCCTCTAGCTACCAACCCCTTTTTCTTTTTCTTTTCTTTTTTTCTTTTTTTTGAGACGGAGTTTTGCTCTTGTTGCCCAAGCTGGAGTGCAACAGTGTGATCCCAGCTCACTGCAACTTGCACCTCCTGGGTTCAAGCAATTCTCCTGTCTGCCTCCCGAGTAGCTGGAATTACAGGCACCATTTTTGGTAGAGACAGGGTTTCTCCATGCTGACCAGACTGGTCTCGAACTCCTGACCTCAGGCACTCTGCCCGCCTCAGCCTCCCAAAGTGCTGGGATTACAGGTGTGAGCCACTGTGCCCAACCCCAAACCTGATTTTATCATTGTTTCACATTTAAGTTCGTATCTGCACTTAACTGTCTCTACTTAATCTCTTCTGTGCTTTTCAAATGCACTGAAATTTGGCATCTGTCCCCATCAATCCATCAAATAGCTTTTACAGAAATCATCAGTGATCTCTACATAATCTGTTGTCTAGTTTTCAATTCTCATCTTACTTGTCTGCCCTTAGCACTGACTTTCACAGTTGTACTCATTCCTCTTTGCCTCCAAATACATTTTCCACATCTGGTTCTGAGCTCCCTGTTAACTTTTTTAACTCTTGGCTTTGGCATTTCTGTTTCCTTGAATGTGCCAGAACTCTTTCCTCTGGGTCTTGGTTGTTCCCTGGACCTACAATACTCATTTCCAGACTTTTAACTAAGAATTGCAGGTCTCAGCTTTAATGTTTCCTGAAGCTTTCTCTAATCCCCATTTAAGTTAGTTTTGTTATGCACTTTCAATTTGCCATGTTCTTTCATAACACTAACAAATTGTAAACATGTATTTGGTGATTTGTCTAATTTCTGTATCCATGCTACATTTAACCTCTATGAGGCCAAGGGAGCATGTTTCTTGTTTAAAATTATAAATTAGTCTAAAAATAGTCCCTGGCACATAATATTGAAATAAATGAATCTTGTGCATCTTCATAAACATACTCTTTGTCCTGGTAGAGGAAAAATTGTCAACCTGGGGTTCATGGACAACCAGTGATATGAAAAAAAACAGAAATTTCCTGCAAGATCCTGTGCTTTTCCTTGGAGGGAGTCCCTGAATTTCATGGGACTTCAAAAGAACTGAGACATTCTGACCACCAAAAGGAAGATCCATCACAATGATAGAGTTCCAAAGATTCACCTCTCCAGCTGTTTACTGTCTCTCCCACCTCCAGTATCTGTGACACTGCCATATCTATATATACCAATCTTTTAATTTGAGTGTAATCAAGAACTTTTTCACTACCTATTTGGATGGAGATAAAAACAAGTTTTTAGAAAGCACACCTAGTTTAGTGCCGGTTTCTTAAACCACTAATATGATCAGTGATAAGGTAGAAAAAAATACATAATGGAAAAGTATTAACATTTGTGCATAAACCATTGAGGGCTTAAATCAGGGACCAGAATATCAAATGTCTACACATGTCAGCCAAAGAGATGTAGAGGGTTCAGTGGGGCTGTGAAGCAGATAGGAAGGGTCTCCAGAGATTATAGGAATACAATCAACTTGGGTAATCACCACTTTTTCCCCTAAAAGCTGTGTGGAATGCAGCCAGCTAGCTGGTTTAAACCAGCTCGTGACAGACCCCAGCAATTTACAGATGGATCCCAGTGTACTTTCCTCATTACCATGCCAACATCTCTACCCTGGGAGATGCTATAACTTCATTACTATAACATGTGACTTGCGTGCTGAAATAACAACTCACTGCATCTGCACAACTGCAACCCCTCTACATGCAATCACATACCCTCTTCCCTCCCTGCCACCACATAAAACCCTCCTGTCACTTTTCTGCTTTGGAGACTATGCCCAGTGCTTCATTTGTGATGAGTAATAAAACTTGCTCAAAGCCTGCCTTCTTTGTTGGTTATAGTGGCTTATGCCTATAATCCCAGCACTTTGGGAGGCTGAGGCAGGAGGATCAATTGAGCCCAGGAGTTCAAAACCATTCTGGTCAACAAGACCCCTTCTCTATTAAAAAAAGATAAATAAAAAAGCCAGGCACAGCACTTTGGGAGGCTGAGGCAGTTAGATGAACTTAAGACCGGGAGTTCAAGACCAGCCTAACAACATGGCAAAACCCTGTGTCTACTAAAAATGCAAAATAGTTGGGAGTGGTGGTACATTCCTGTAGTCCCAGCTACTGAGGAGGCTGGGGCAAGAGAATTCCTTGAGCCTGGGAGGTGGAGGTTGTAGAGAGGCGAGATCACCCCACTGTACTCCAGCCTGGTGACAGAGTGACACTAAAAAAAATAAATTAGCCAGGCATGGTCGCACACCCCGCTAGTCCCAGCTACTTAGGAGGCTGAGTGGGGAGGGCTGCTTCAGCCTGGGAAGTTAAGGCTGCAATAAGCCATGATCACAGCACTTTATTCTAGTTTGAGTGACAGAGTGAGACCCTGTCAAGATAAAATAATCTCTGTTCTCATGTAGAGTTGTCTTACCAGATGAATGAATCTCAGGTTTTTTTGGGGGGTAACAAGTCTGGCACCCCAAATGGGACCCAGGACTGAGACCTGACTTGACCTCCCTTATAGGCTCCTGGCAGGCAAAGCAGTAGGCTGTTGCAACATGCCTGGGCCAACTCACCTAAGTTGTCAAGAGGGAGACTAGAGAAGGGCCTTGGGACCCCCGACCTGGTTTCTAGTGTAGTCCACTGACCAGCACCACAAGACTTTTTGCTCAGTGCTCCTTTGAAACAGCAGCCTCATCAACTACTAAAAGAGTGGTCTGGGTTTTGATCATTAGGACTCTGGGTTGTCAGTATTAGGATTTAGGTCAAGGGATCCAGGATTGTTGAGAAAAATAACTTCCTTCTTTCAGGTCTGGGAGACTGAGAGACATTTCGGTCATTTTAACAAGGGGATTCCCCAATATAAAGAGGCTACTACTCAGCCTCAGCCCATAGCTGGCATGTAAAAATACAGGCTTCGGGCTGCCAGAGTATCCAAATGATCAAGAAGTTCAAATTTTTTATTTTCAAATATCCAAGTTTTCAGCTGTTGGCAGTTGTGATCTTAGGATACATACTGGTTTTCCTCTAAGGTTCCTGGCTCACAACTCCCATAGCCCTTGTTATATAATGTTGGGTGTGCCAGGCTTTAGGAGCCAGCCTCAGGAAACAGAATCCCTCTGACCTTCTCCAGTCCTTTCACCTGCCCCAAGGCACCACTGTGATCACCCACCTTTTTGACTGTGGGAATAAAATCCTCCCTAGAGAGGGTCCTCTGCTATATCCTGGGGGAAGGAACACTGACATCAAGAAGCTTCCATTAAAAACCCAAGAGGACTGGGTTGGGCTTGGGGGCTGGTGGGGTCAGTTTTTGGATAGCTGAACACATGGAGGTTCCTGGGGCATGGGACTCCATGGAGGGCACGGAAGCTCCATGCCCTTTCCCTCATGCCTCACCCTGCACATCTCTTCATCTGTATCCTTTGCAATGTCTTTTATAATAAACCAGTAAATGGCCCAGGCTTGTGACTGGTGTCTGAGAAGGTGGGCGTGAGGGTGGTGGGGACTGACCCCTCAATCTACCTGACACTATCTCCAGGAAGATGATGCTGGAATTGAATCAGAGGACACCCAGCTGGTGTCCACTGTAGAATTCATTCCTTGCTTGCTGGTGGAGAGAAATCCTCACATATTTGGGGGGGGGGGGGGTCACAGAAGTCTTTGCATTCATTGTTATATTAGTGAAACAGCTGAAGAAAAACATGATTTAGAGTTTCCCAAAACAGCAATTAATTTTTATTTTTATTTATTTATTTATTTATTTGAGACGGAGTTTCGCTCTTGTTACCCAGGCTGGAGTGCAATGGCGCAATCTCGGCTCACCGCAACCTCTGCCTCCTGGGTTCAGGCAATTCTCCTGCCTCAGCCTCCCGAGTAGCTGGGATTACAGGCACGCGCCACCATGCCCAGCTAATTTTTTGTATCTTTAGTAGAGACGGGGTTTCACCATGTTGACCAGGATGGTCTCGATCTCGACCTCGTGATCCACCCGCCTCAGCCTCCCAAAGTGCTGGGATTACAGGCTTGAGCCACCGCGCCCGGCCGCAATTAATTTTTAAAAATGCACATTTAAATTCGGCACAGGTCAAACAATACAAACTAAACCAAAAAAAAAAAAACCCAACTGCAAGCAAGCTACAGCCTGTAGATGATCAGTTTCTGAGATATTATTTCCAATAATCATGCCTTAGTAATTTTTAACAATTTGGGGGGTAACTAACCTTCAGTCACTCAAAGTATATCAAAGTTCTAATGACCTTTACAATTCCATTAATATTTATATATCTTGACCAATATGAAATCATGAAATAATGCTACTTTAAGGATTTTAAGTAAAAAATAATCGTTATACTAATGCTTTAGAAGACTAAAAACAAGTTCTAATATGAGTGGTTTTTTTTTTTTGCATCAGTTCTTGTAGAACAGTTAAAATATTCCGTCAATGTGGCATAAACTTATGTCACCAATTAGTGACTAGTACCCTTCTCAAGCTGAAGAGAACCTGACTTTCTGCCAGAGAATCTATGAGGAATCCATTAAGCATGTTAGTTCCAGTTATTTCTTAAAGTGCAACCCCAGCATTTTTATTTTTAAGACACAAGGCTAGAACGATAAGACCATTAAGAGTAACAGCTGCCAGAAAACCTCAAGGCATTTTTAATAAGGCCATCCATTTCTGCCAAGACCTAAACAAAGTTAAATGTATAACCAAGCCCTGTTAGCTCTGCTATCAAAGGGAACCAAGATGAAAAACAATCATTTTGTAAATAAATGACTTACTCTGTAGTGACAGCAGGAGCTAAGGGATCAAACTCCATTACCTCATAGTAATTAGGTGGCTGGAGATCACTCTTTGTCATCGCTTTAGGCAAAAAAAGAGACCAGTAAACACACATTGTCCTTTTCAAGGAGTACATGTGATTGATATTCTTTTTATAGTTTAGACTTAGAATATTAGATCGTAGTAAACACAACCAAAACAAATGGACTGGTGTTCCAATGCTTCTCCCAAGTTCAACAAATCTGTATATAACAAAAAGGCTTCCAAACTTCAGCTACCAAACCTCAGCTAAAGGTTCATTTACCTTAGCATTCAAAACACAATATTCAGTTCAACACAAGCATTTTTACAATCTTCTAAAGTTAGTCATAATGGTATCTGCCCTGAATTTGTTTCATTAGCTTAAAAATACAAAGGAGCACCTCTAATTTCTCTTCCCTATTTTCAAGTACCAATGAATCTCTGGCAGACTCGTATATTCTCTCATAAGTTTCCTTGCTTGATGCAAACAATAAGGTCCCATGTACCTGGATGATTGCCGGGCAAAGATGGCAGACTCTGGTTTGACGGTGCTGCTGCAATGGTTTGTAGACTAACCGGCTGTAGAAACACTGAATTTGAATGTTCCAGAAACTGAAGAAAGCATAACACATGTTCATATAAACATTCTACATTAAGCTTTTCTTTTATTAGTTAGACTCCTACACTTCCAAGTACATTGTTCCAAGAACCAGATACTTTGAACTGGACAAGAACAAGTAGTTTTTAATAATTATTTCTTTTTTGGTAATAATCACTATGAGATTTACTACTTTTCTGCTGGGCATGGTGGCTTATGCCTGTTATCTCAGCAGTTTGGGAAGATGAGGCAGGAGGATTACTTGAGCCCAGAAGTTTAAGATCAGCCTAGGCAACAGCAAAACCCCAGCTCTACAAAAAAAAAATAAAAAAAAAAAATAAAAAAAATTAGCTGGGCATGGTAGCTTGCACCTGTAGTCCCAACTACCCCAGAGACCGAGACAGGAGGATCTCTTGAGCCTAGGGGTTTGAAGCTGCAGTGAGTTATGATCCTGCTACTATATTCCATCCTAGGTGACTGAGTGAGCCCCTGTCTCAAAAACAAAAATTTACTATATTTTTGTCTGGTTTTATGCCTATTGCCCCCATATTCTATAGAAACTGTGAACTTAAAAACAACAACACATGTTGCTTTTAAAAATGAAGCAGATTCAGTGGTTCAGGCCAGATTCTCTGTTGTTTCACTCTGATAAATCAGTCAGCCTTGAGCAGGAAAAGAAAAAATTCTTAAATCTACAGAGAAGCACAGTGACATAGCAAAATCAGGACTGAGAAGAAAAAGATTAAAATCTTAATTAGAAATACCTGTTCTCATAATTTTCCTCATTCATTCTACAAATATTTCCTGGGCACTTAGCAGCTGCCAGGCACTATTAACAAAGCAATAAAGCAGACCAAGTTCCTGACTTCATGATGCAGACAATGTGGGCAGGAACAGATATCCAATGGCATGTGCTCTAATATAAAAGCAGAGTAGTGGGTGGGAGAGACAGGTGGAATACTGTTCTAACAGGTCATGATCAGGAAACGTCTCATCATTGGGGACATTTAAGCAGAGCCTGAATAAAGAGAGTCTTGTGATTACTGGAGAGGAAACAAGTTCATAGTCTCTGAAGTGGGGGAGGCCAATGTGGTTGGAACAAAGTGAGCCAAGGTAGAGAAGGGTAGGAGGTGAGGCTGGAGAGGTGACAGGTAGGGTCAGATTAGCATTTCAGGCATTTACTGAGTAAAGTGGGATGAGGAAAATCATAGGTGGGTTTTGAGCAATTGAGTGACATAATATGACTTGACTTTTTAAAAAAGAATGCCCCAGTTTTGGTTTTGAGAATAGGTTATTCTCAAAGGAGAAGAAATGAAAGTGAGGCAGGAGAAGAACCAAAGTGACTGGTGTCTGAAAGCCATGTGTGCAAGGAGGAAGTAATCAACTTTGTGATATGTTGCTGATAGATAAGATGAGGGACTGTGGAACTGCAGTTCTAAATTTCATAACACGGAAGTCACCAGTGACTTTAACAATAGTTATGCCCATAGAGGGGTAGAAGAGCATATCTGAAGTCTGTCAAAGAGAACACAAGGAAAGAAAGTGGAGACAGCAAATACAAACTCCAAAAAAACTTTGATCCTTAACCATCTTGCTAACAGGGGCTGCACATCAATACATTGCTGAGCAGAACATGAGAATTCATGGCCATGAGTTCTTTTCCGGCCACGATAATCTGCTGACTAGGTGCACTGTTAGAAAAGAGTTTTGCTACTCACGTTATCATACGTGTGGCTTGAGGTGAGGTTTTGGCTGGTCCTTTGGGGAAACCTAGGATAGTGTGATAACACAGCATGATTATACCCTACAGTGAGAACACAAATGCAAAAAATAAGATGATTTTCCTGGTCTAAAAACAACCTAAAACATACCTTCAGCCCGCATGAAGTATCATTTTGTGATAACAATGTATAAATCAATTGGTTTCAGAGCCCATCAGGTTATGATGCCAAAATACCAAAGATATAAAGCACTGTCCTTTGGCAGTGGGAGCCCTGAGATGGTGGAGTGTGCACAGAATACTAAGAACACAGCCTTCAGTCTTTCCATCAGGGTAGCTACCATCCCATCATTTCCTAAAGGATGAGAAGTAGTACAGAATACAGGTTAAGAATAAAGCTGTGAGGATTCTGGTTCAGGATAGAGTGGAACAAATGTATTGCACCCTGTCTCTCCACCGAATGTCACTTAAAGGTGGACAGAATGCAGAGAGCAGCTATTTGAAGACTCTGAGAAATAGGAGCAGCCTGATTAAGAAAGAAGACCAAAATTGAAGTATCGCTGAACTGTTGGTGAATTTACCATTTTTTGCCCCTTTGTGTTTCCTGATCAAATGCAATGCAGCCTGAACCCTAGGCATCAATGAGGACAGACAGAGCTCTAGGAGAAGGCCTCTCATTCCCCGTCAAGGAGCAGGAAAGGGAAACAATCCTAACACTCAGAATGTGGAAATCTCTTGCCCCTTTTTTGTCTTCTCTGTTCTATCACACCCCAAACCACAGGCAACCCCAAGGAAGCTGTAGTGACAGCAGAGACAATGACACCGGTAGGAAATTGAAACACAGTGAGAGCAATCTTCCTCTCCAATAGAAGCTGTGATACCCACAGCTTTTTCCCTTAATGTTCTGCCATTTAGTCACAGACATAAGCACAGTCAAGGAAATGTCTGGTATCACAGGATAACTAAAGCTCGAGCTTTATGACCAAAGAAACAAAAAGGGGAGTCCCAGGAAACTGGAATGTGCCAGGTAAATCACGATGACAAAGGATTCAGGAAAGCAACCTCAAAGTTGTTTGTGAAATACCAAGATCACCCCCTGACCTGTACATGCATGGATCCCATCTCAGTCATGATGCCAAAAAATGGTGAGAAGTGAACACACGACCTGCTGTCTAGACCTTAGATTGACCACAGGATGGAACATACATGAGACATATTTGAATAGCAATGCAAAGGCTTTGAAAATGTAGCTGGACACTGGAGCCACAGCCCACAGAAAGTGGCTAAAATTATGGTATGAATCTAGCCAGGTTATTTATATACTAAAATCAAAATATCAACATTTTTGACATAATTTAAATTAAGACCAAGAGTCTCCTAATAAAACATTAAAAATACCCACATAGAATCCAAAATTATGAGGCATTTGAAGAACCATGAAAATTTCAACTTATACAAGAAGACAATAACAGATATAGATGCCAAGAGGACACAGAAGTTGAAATTATCTCAGAGATGTTTAAGGCAGTTATTGTACACATGCTCCATAGAACTGCAAACAATCTTAAAAAAAATGAAAAATTTTTAAAAAATGAAAGTAGAAAGTCTCAGCAAAAAGCACAAGATATAAAGAAACAAAATGGAATTTCAGAACTAAAAACTATAATAACTAAATTTTTTTTTAAATTAACAGAAGGCCAGGCGTAGTGGCTCATGCCTGTAATCCAGGCACTTTGGAGGTCAAGGCGGGTGGATCACCTGAGGTCGGGAGTTCAAGACCGGCCTGACCAATATGGTGAAACCCGTCTTTAAAAAAAAAAAAATTTAACAGAATGAGCTCAACAACACAATGGAAAAGACAGAGGAAAGAGTCGCTGAACTTGAACATAAATCAGAAAGTATCCAATCTAAACAGAGAGAAGCAAGAGTACAAAACAAAACAACAACAACAAAAAAAAAAACAGGACCTCAAACACCTATGAGACAGTGGCACAGGTCTAAAGTTTGTGTCATCAGGGTTCCAGAAAGCAGAAAGAGTGTAATCCTGAAAAAAAGAAAGACTAAAAACATCACAAGTTTGGTGAAAGACATAAAGCCGCAAACGACATTCAAGAAGTTCCATTAGTGGGTTAAATGGTGGCTCCCAAAATGCACGCTCATGTCCCAATTCCCAGAACCTGTGAGTGTTATGAGTGTTATCTTATTTGGAAAAAGCGTCTTTGCAATTGTAATTAAGGATCTTAAGATGAAGATGTCATCCTGTATTATCTGGGTGGGCCATAAATCCAATGACAAATGACCTTAAATGAGAAAGGCAGAGTGAGATTTGGGACACACAGAGGAAAAAGTGAGGTGAAGATACAGGCAGGAATTGGAGTGACATAACCAAAAGCTAAGAAATCTAAGGAGTACCCACAAGTCTTTGGAATCTAGATGAGGCAGAGAACAGATTTTCCCTTAACAGTTGTGGAGGGAGAATGACTCTGCTGAATTTCAGACTTCTTGCCTCCAGAACTGTGAGAGAATAAATTTCTGTGGTTTTAAACCACCCAGTTTGCAGTCATTTGTTATGGTAGCCACAGGAAACTAATACACTCAGCCAATCCCCAAGATAAAAAACAAAAAAAACAAAAGAAATCCATACCCAACATACTGTAACCAAACTGCTCAAAATTAGTTAAAAAGAAAAATTATTTACAGCAGACAGAGAACCACAATACATGATCCATAGAACAACAATTCGAATGTAGATTTTTCACTAGAAACCATTTAGGCCAGAAAAGAGTGGCACAGCCTTTTAAAACTGATGATAGAACTGTGAACCCCATATTCTGTATCCACTGAAAATATCCTTCAGGAACAGACAAAATAGAGGCATTCTCACATGATGTAAAACTAGGAGACTTCACTGCCAATAGACCTGCTTTAAAAGAACTGATAATCCTTCAGAGAGAAGGGAAATTATACCAGAATAGAATAATAAGAGAAATGGTAAACATTGGGTAAATATAATAGACTATTTTTCTCTTCTTGAATTTTTTTTTTTGCCAATCAGTTTGAGCTTATAAGTTTGCTCAGGTTAGCCTTGAACTCATGACCTCGCCTTCGCAAGCGCCACGACCTCTGGCGGGAGCCACTTTGGACCCCCTTCTTGAATTTTTAACTTTTTTTTTTTTTTTTTTGAGACAGAATCTTGCTCTGTAGCCCAGACTGGAGTGCATTGGCACAGTATCAGCTCACTGCAACCTCTGCCTCCTGGGTTCAGTCAATTCTTGTGCCTCAACTTCCCAAGTAGCTGGGATTACATATGCGCAAGACGAATCCCGGCTAATTTTTTGTATTTTTTGGTACAGACGGAGTTTCATCATGTTGGCCAGGCTGGTCACCAACTCCTGGCCTCAAGTGATCCGCCCACCTCTGCCTCCTAAAGTGTTGGGATTACAGCCATGAGCCACCACTCCTGGCCTCTTCTTGAATTCTTTACAGTATATTTGAGGGTTGTAAGCAGAAATAAGACCATCTGTTAGTGGTTTCTTTTCAATGTATATAGATGTAATATATAAGATGACTATAATATAAAGGAGGAATCTATATGGTAATTAGGTTTTTACTTTCAAGTAGTAAAGCACTGATATTAAGTAAACTGAAAAGTAAGTATATTGCAATCACTAAAGCAAACTATATATATGGGTGTGTATATGTACATGTATATATGTATATATATTTATGTATATTTTGCTAACAAAATTAGCAAGATCACAGGAACAGAATCAGTTACTTTAAACCATATTATTTACTAAGAGGCTCTACTTCATACACACACACACAAACACACACACACACACACACAGTTATACAAAGATACTGTGAGAATCACAATACATTAAAATGGTGTAGTAAAAATATTCTAATAATCCAAAAGAAGGCAGAAAAAAAGAAAAAGAAAAAAAAGGGACACATAGAAAAACTATATGATGATAGACCTAAAACCTACATACAATTACATTAAATGTAAATTGTCTAAACATATCAATTAAAAGAAATGAGAATACATTAAAAATGCATGAACCAACTATAGGCTATCTCTAAAAAACTTCAAATCTTTTAATACAGTTAAGTTACAAGTAAAATGCAGAAGAAAACAGACCATGCAATCACTAATCAAAAGAAGGTTATATTACTATCAAAATCAACATCAGGACAAAGAAAATTATGAGGGACAAAGAGGGCAATTACATAATGATAAAAGACTCAATCAAACAACAAGATACCACATAGCTGAATGCATGAGCTTCAAAATGCATAAAGCAAATACCAACTTAATACACTCTCTTCTATAAAGATTACATATTGTGTAATTCTACTTAGATGACATTCTCAAACTATAGCAATAGAGAATAAATTCGTGGTTGCTGGGGATTGAGGGTCAGGGGTGCGAGGGTGTGACTATAAAGGAATAACACATGAAAATTTTTTTTTTAGTGATGAAACTATTCTGTATCCTGACTGTGGTGGTAGTTACTTGAATCTATACGTATGTTAAATAGAACTGTATGCCAAACCAAAAAAAAACAAAAAAAGGTAAATATTAGTGTATGAAAATTTTAGAAATAAAATTAAAGTACAAACATAAAAACAAAAAGAGAGAATTTACTGAAATCAGAATTTGGTTTTGAATCCCACTTAAATTTGAACTCTGTCTCAGCACCAGCTGGGCAACCACTGGCAAGTTAATCTTCCTCAGCTTTGGTTTCCTCATGTTTAAATTAAAATGAGTGTGGTATGTACCTCACAGGTTTATTAAATAATTAGTAAGCATTTCTTTTTTTTTTTTTTTTGAGACTGAGTTTCGCTCGTTACCCAGGCTGGAGTGCAATGGCGCGATCTCGGCTCACCACAACCTCTGCCTCCTGGGTTCAGGCAATTCTCCTGCCTCAGCCTCCTGAGAAGCTGGGATTACAGGCACACGCCACCATGCCCAGATAATTTTTTGTATTTTTAGAAGGGACGGGGTTTCACCATGTTGACCAGGATGGTCTCGATCTCTTGACCTCATGATCCACCTGCCTCGGCCTCCCAAAGTGCTGGGATTACAGGTGTGAGCCACCGCGTCGGGCCAGCATTTCTATTGTTGCCTGTTAGTAAGTGGGCCATAAATATGGCCTATGGACCGGGCACAGTGGCTCATGCTGTAATCCCAGCAGTTTGGGAAGTCAACGCAGGCAGATCACCTTAGGTGAGGAGTTCAAGACCAGCCTGGTCAACATGGCAAAACCAGGTCTCTACTAAAAATACAAAATAAAATTAGCGAGGTGTGGTGGCAGGCACTTGTAATCCAGCTACTTGGGATGCTGAGGCAGGAGAACCTCTTGAACCTGGGAGGTGGAGGTTGCAATGAGCCAAAATTGAACTATTGCACTCCAGCCTGGACAACAATGCAAGACTCTGTCTCAAAAAAAGAAAGACCCAGCTCCGGGGGCATGAGAGCACCCCACAAGCCTGGGCACTAAAAATAAAAATAAAAATAAAAAAATTTAAAAAAAAAGAAAGAAAAAAGACTTATAACTTTATCCTGTATTCTTTGTTATTGTTTTTTAAGGATTCTTTCTGTTATGAAAAATTGCATCACCCACTTTTTCTGTGATGGTGAATGAATTAAACTGCAAACACAAAAAGATGGAAAAAATCTCAACATCATAAGACATCTTAATGGCTGATTTTGCCTCTCACAAGTGATCTTAGGCATATGATTTAAACCATGTACATGCCCTCAAATCTTGGTATAGATGTTCGTCATAGGGTTTCTCAATGTATGATAAGAAAACCACTGCATTATGATTCTCCTGGAATTCATGTTAAAGATTCTTGCTACTGAATCGGGACCAGCAATTTGACTTTTTGACAGTCAGCCAAGTGACTTTTATGCATACTGAATTATTAGATCCAATAGGTTACAGATTAAAACAGGCAGCTATTAGCTGAAATTTGACTTTTAATGAATTTTATAGATATCTGTTGTAATGGGATTTTATCTGTATTACTTATTCATTCCCATATTACCTAACAAGATTAGCAAGATAACAGGAACAGAATTAGCTACTTTAAACTACACTGTTACCAAGCAACTTCACTAGAAATCTGCCTGCACTTCAACATTTACTTGTATTGTATGTAGCCAAGACATGAGGTAGCCAACCAAAGATACTGACCTCAGTGGTTCATAAGCAAGCCACTGACACTTTATCATTTCCCAACACATGAATCATTTATCCTCTTCTTCCCTTATATTTTGCTCTCTTTTCTTTACAGTTCGATTCTTCTTTCTCATTTTCCTCCCTCTGCCCCTCCCCCTTTTAAATATAGAAAAGTAATTCAGTGATTGGACATACAAGTATTTAAACAAAACACTAGGCAACTTTAAAAAAAATCGAAATCCACTGATATAAACACACTGCCAAAATACGTTAAATGAAAAAGGAAAGTCAGGTTCAGAACACAGTGATAGTATGCCGCATTTTATTGAATAAAGGAGAAGGAAATTCATATTTGTATTTGCCTAAAGTCACTATGGAAGGATAAATCAGAATCCTAACAAAGTAAGTATCTGCGTGGGAGTAGAGTATGACACTAGGGCAAAAGAGAGAGGGAGGATGAAGAGGGAGTGAGAACAAGAATTGTCTTATACAACTTTTTACATTGTTTTTATATCGGAATAATGAAAATGTATTGCCTATTATCTAAAATATATACACTTAAAAGGAAAAAACCTATTGACTTTGGCATAAGGCAAATTCAACTGCTGTTTATTCTATCCTGCCTCTCCCAGAACTTATATAACCACTTTCACTCTTTTTCCGTTTTTCCCTTCTTGTATCATTCTTGTTTCTTTATGAGAATGGAGGCAAATATTAATATATATTCTTATTTCCCACTTTCTTACACAAATGCAATATATTACACACACACACTACTTAGAACCTTTTTTTTCTACTTAGCAAGAAATATTTTGGAGATTATTACTTTTATCCTCCAGTTTTATAGTAATATGTTGTCCAGATGTTTATTTAACTAGTCCCCAACTGATGGATACTAGAGTTGTTTCCTAATACTTGCTATTGCTCAAAATATTGTAAAGAATAATCATGTAAACATCCAACTCTGTATAAGTGCAGTATACATTTCTACAGATAAGAGTGCAGATTCAAATATAAATGCATTTATAATTTTAACAAGAATTGCCACTTGCTCCTACAAGAGTTGCATAATTTTGTGCTAGCAACTGTCTTTCCATAGCCAACAAAGTTTATTATGAACTATTTAGACTTTTGCCAACCTGAGAAGTAGAAAACAATTTCTTATTAAATTTTGATTTACATTTCTCTGTAAGTAAAGTTGAACATCATTGCATATGTTTATGGGTCATTAATATTTCTTTTTAAGTAAACTATCAGTCCATCAGACTTGCTACTTACTGGCTGTACAAACTTGGGCAAGTTTTGTTTCCTTCAACAAAGAAACGACAAAGAAGTCTCAGTCTTTTTTCCTGTATAATGGCAATAATGATCACAGGCCAGTGCTGTGGCTCACCTGGGGAGGCCAAGCCAGGAGGATCACCTGAGGCCTGGAGTTCAAGACCAGTTTGGGCAACAAAGTGAGACCCCATCACTACGAAAAGTTTAAAAAATTAGCCTAGCCCAGTATGGTGGTGCACACCTGTAGTCCCAACTATTAAGAGGCTGAGGTGAGAGTATCCCTTGAGCCCAGGCATTTGAGGCTATAGTGAGTTATGATGGTGCCACTGTTGTGCCAGGCCTAAGTGACAGAGCAAGACCCTCACCAAACATCACTGACCTAAGTACTTTAGTGATGAAAGGATGAAATAAACAAAAATAGCTTAACAAAGTGCCTGCCACACGGCAAGCTCTGTAACTGATGTAGCCATTACTCTTAATTTTGAACCCCACTGCTCTTCTGCCTCCTTTGTCATTATATTTCCCCTGTTCTCCCCCATCTCCTGTTACCACTAAAAATAACAGAAACAGAGACATTTATTGAAGGCTTATTATGTACCAAGTGCTAGATTAGGAGTTTGGCATATAGCATCTCTCTGAATCTTTGTAAGATTCCTAGAAAATATTCTTAGAAGAAAAATGAACATTCACAGTGGCTAAATAGCTCATTTAGGTTATATGCAGGAAGTACTGCTGAGATTCTAACTCAGGATTGTCTGATTCTTAAGTCTCTATTTTTTTGCTATTTTATGTTTTCTTTTCTCTATTTTTTTTTTTTTTTTTTTTTGAGATAGGGTCTCTCTCTCTCTCTCTCTCTCTCTCTCTCATCACCCATGCTGGTGTACAGTGGCACAACCTCGGCTCACTGCAACCTCTACCAGTTCAAGCAATTCTCATGCCTTGGCCTCCTGAGTAGCTGGAATTACAGGCATATGCTACCATGCCAAACTAATTTTTGTATTTTTAGTAGAGCTGAGGTTTTGCCATGTTGCCCAGGCTGGTCTCAAACTCCTGGGCGCAAGCGATCCATGTGCCTCGGCCTCCCAAAGTGCTAGGATTACAGACATGAGCCACTGTGCCCAGCCATCAAGTTTTCTTAAATGTAAGGAACCCAAGTGTCATGGTATCAGTTCTGCAGTGTTACTGACATACTTACAAGGGTATTTCTGTATTTTCCAAGGCTAGCAAGTCCATCTGTGGATGAAGACTGGGTTTTAAGTTGTTTGTTACACCAGAACTTGGAGAGCTGAAATCTAAAACACAAAATGGACTTGTTTGGCTCTAAAAATTTTGTCAGTCAGTTATGATGTTCAATTTTCTAAAAACCAAACCAAAACAAAACAAAAAAAAAACCACACCAAATAAAGAGATTAATTTAGATATTTCTGTCACCATAAAATCATGAGATTTCCTAGCTCTAAGAGAAATTAGAAAGCATCATTTATGAAAGGTAGAGAGAGAAAGAATTTTCCTGCCACAAGAAGTTGTTTTAAGGGTAACAAATATTATTGTATTGGATTTTCTGAAATCCAAAGCTGATCCAGACTGGAAAGGATTTTACATCTTATTCTGCCCACCACAAAAGTAAAACGTTATGCTATATATTGAGCTCTACCTTCATCTCAAGCGCCAGTCCATTATCTTTAATTAATTTATTTTTTTGAGATGGAGTCTCACTTTGCCACCCAGGTTGGACTGCAGTGGCATGATCTCTGCTTACCACAACCTCCACTTCCTGGATTTAAGTGATTCTTAGCCTCAGCCTCCCGAGTAGCTGGGATTACAGGCACCCACCACCACGCCTGGCTAATTTTTGTATTTTTAGTACAGGCAGGCTGGTCTGGAACTCCTGACCTCAGGTGATGTACCCACCTCAGCCTCCCAAAGGGCTGGGATTTAAAGGTGTGAGACACTGTGCCTGGCCTCCAGGCTATAAGCTTAACTGAGATACCATAAAGAGAATAATTACTTCCCCCTCAGAAACTGACTCTACACATCCCACTGGCCAACATAAGCAAGTAGCCAGCATTTTAGAACTGGGTAAAGTTCTAAGAAAACCACACATTCAGTGATACTGAATATTTTTACTCTGGAAACAGGAGATGACATATGAGAAAAACTATTTTAGTTTAGCAAAACTGGATTTTAGCATTTTTCATCATTCTTATTTTATAATTTACCAAACCCTTGTTGGGAATAAGGACAGCAGAAGAAAACAAGTTAGGTAAGATAGGTAATTCCTATCTTTTACAAATGTTTGTAAAATACATCGTAGCAAAGCTTACGATGCATTTTATGAACATTAGTTTGTTAACCTTGAAAATGACCCTTTAAGGCAATCATTGTTCCCATATTATAAAGTGAAAAAGTCTCAAAGGTTAGGTGGCTGACAGGTGGCAGAACTGGCATTTCAACTTGGACTTTTCTGACTTTAAAGCCTGTATTGTTCCTTCTACATTTAACCACCATGTGGTTCATACCTTGTAATTCCTGAATTTCTCCACTTGATCTCCCTGACCTGATCCTGAGGTATAGCAGAAAAACCCAATGATAATAGTGTGAGGGTTCAGAGTAGATTTTAAGTATTGGCCATTGGGCTGAACAACTTCTACAAAGCAGGCCAAGTGAATTCCATGAGATTCTAAGTGAATCCCATTCTTATACTGGGTTTGCCTCAACCACTTGCCAGGAAGTAATCACATCTCCTGACATAGTGCTCTGACATTCAAACTGACTTCAGTCCTTCTTAGGTGGCATTTACTCATGTAATTAAGAACTGTTTTACATCAAGCTCTTCTGCTGGTCTGAAAAGGCCTGAGTGTTTATTTACTTAAGTCTGAAAGTTGGTCATTCATGGTGTTGAGTTCTCCCAGAGTGGCCCTAGACATCCGGGGACTGGGACTTAGGTCAAGGAGATCTTGAGATGGGGCAGAAGGCTCACTTGTAGTCTGAAAACAAAGCAAAAGAAAGTGTTATGTAGTTTATCATAGCTTTCTCCCCATAGACTTTCCTTTGTAGAGGGGAAGATCCTATTTGGATACATTTTGAGGAAGAATTTTCCATTCAACAGGCAACATTAGTATGACTCCCATCTTACCACCTGCATAGGTTCTTGCTTAATGAGGTAATTTTCTTATAACTTATAACTTAATAACATTAACTTTATGTTACTTTAATAGTTTAATATTAACATTAATGTTAACATTAATAATATTTAATGACATAAAATTATTCAGGCAAGTACTCTATGCCATTAACACCACTCCAAATTATCAATGCATATCTCCCTGTTTTTAAGAGCTGCTTTAGGTAAGCCTTACTTCTTACTATAATTGGTAAAATGTTCAATTGTTTATTTTATAACATTTCTAATCACTTACATTGGTGGCTTCCTTCTGGTTCTTATTTTGCTCCAAAATCCTTTGTTGGTTTCTAGTAAACCTGTTTAAATGATCAAAATGCATGTGTTTTTAAAAAATATATGAAATGCTATAAAAATCTAACAATTATTATTACACAAATCTTTAGGAATGAAGAAATCAGCCTGATTCTCACACAATTATCAGTAAAATACTTTTAATAACTTTTTTCCAGCTTACAGAGTATTCATACCCTCAAGAGAAAACTGTGAGAAATACCCTCAAGAGAAAACTGTGAGAAAATAAAAAAGCATTTTTAAAGAAATCCCATCACCCAGAAATTAACTCTATTAACATTATTCCAGTATTTCATTTATATAGTGCATCTATTTTTAAACATAGTTGAAATGATACTTTACATAATTCTGTATCCTAATTTGATTATGCTGTGAGAATTTTTCTAATTAAAATACAATTTTTAATGGCTATATTTTATCTTATGAATCTATCACACCTTTAACCACTCTATTAGCGATTATTTGTTTTCTATATAATTTTCCAAAATATTCAAATATATTTAAAGTATTTTCAAGATTTCACTGTTTTTATAAGACACTTAATACATACCAAAGAACTGACCTTTTACAACTCTGATTTAATTTTAAATTGTTTGTCCATTGAGAGTAAAGGAGTATAAATGAAAAAGATTAGAGAAGTTGGCCGGGCACAGTGGCTCCCGCCTGTAATCCCAGTACTTTGGGAGGCCAAAATAAATGGATCACCTGAGGTTGGGGGTTCGAGACCAGACTGGGCAACACAGTGAAACTCCGTCTCTACTAAAAATACAAAATTAACCAGGCATGGTGGTGCACACCTGTGATCCCACCTACTCGGGAGGCTGAGGCAGGAGAATCGCTTGAACCCAGGAGGCAGAGGTTGGGTGAACCGAGATCATGCCATTGCACTCCAGCCTATACAACAAAAGCGAGACTCTGTCTCAAAAAAAAAAAAAAAAAAAAAAAAACAAAAAACAAACAACAACAACAAAAAACAAACCAGAGAAGTTGAAGGCAGAAGTCCAAGGTTCAAGTGTCGGTGTTAGTACCTTGTAGCTACATGACTAAGGATATGATTTCCTGAACCTTGGTCCAGCTGCTAAGAGGGAACACATTTGAACTATTTCCTCAGAAAGTTATTTTCAGGGGCAAAAATAGCACAGGTGGATGAATGTGGAAAGGCTTGGCAAACTGAGATTTGCTTTAGAAACATATAGTATTACTGTTATGACAATTTGACTTCATGATCCTAAACACTTTAAAGTATAAGAGTTTATACTGAATCTGCACACACAGTTGAATGACTTTTCGAAAATACGTGCTTTTAAATTCCATCTAGTTAGGCTGGGCGTGGTGGCTCATGCCTATAATCCGAGTGCTTTGGGAGGCTCAGACAGGTGGATCACTTGAGGTCAGGAGTTTGAGGCCAGCCTGGGCAACATGGTGAAACCCCATATTGACTAAAAATACAAAAATTAGCCAGGTGTGGTAGTATGTGCCTGTAATTCCAGCTACTTGTGGGGCTGAGACAGAGAATTGCTTGAACCTGGGGGGTGGAGGTTGCAGTGAGCCGAGATCATGCCACTGCAAACAAGACTTCATTTCCCAAAAAAAAAGTCCATCTAGTTATAGCATTAGCTTCTTGTATTCTAGTCAGTTATGTGCTGGGTATGAACAACCTTCCTAGATCAAGCCCTGAGTAACAAATTTCAGTTTCTTTATTTGCAAAACTATGCCCTGGATGTAATGAGTGGAGACTTTGGGGGATGTTGGAATAGGGTATATGTATTTTACAAGTGGATGGATAGGAATCTTTGGGGGCCAGAGAGTGAACTGTGACAGGTAGAGTAACACCCACCCTCACACAAAGATACCGACATCCTAGTCAACACAACCAGTGAATGTTAGGTTACATGGCAAGGGGAAGTTAAAGGTTGAAAAAAGAATGAAGTTTACTAGTGTTAAAGGGAAATAAATCTTGGACCCCAAAATCACTAAACCAAAGGGAAAAGTCAAGCTGAGAAGTTCCTCAGGCAAATTTTATTCCTAAATCAGACAGTTACAAAGATAAAAAGCTACCTACCTCTCCCATAATTTGCCCATGAGAAAACTCCTTGTGGGCTTCAAGATCTTTACCCTAAAACAGTTCTTTTGAATTTCACCCTGGCAATATAAATTGATAGCTTGTCTTCATAGGTACAGGACAAAGGACAGAACTGACTGCTTCCTCTGCCCCACTGCTTATGTAGAAATGCAGATTCACTGAGCCAGACTAAGGCATGAGTGACTAATTCTCTAGCCCCTTCTCACATGTAAATTGTGTACTCAGTGAAAGGCTGATCAAAGACTCAAAGGGATGCAACCCTTTGTCTCTTATCTATTTATAATCTGGAAGCCCCCTTCCCTGCTTTGAGTTGTCCCACCTTTCCAGATGAAACCAATGTACATCTTACACATATTTATTGATGTGTCATATCTCCTGAAAATGTATAAAACGGCGCTATGTGCCCACCACCTTGGGCACATGTTGTCAAGAACTCCTGAGGCTATTACAGGTGCATTCTTAACCTTAGCAAAATAAACTTTTTGCTAGATTTTTTAAACTAGATTTTTCTTCCCACTTATCATGAGTGAATTAAGAGAATCCATGAATTAAAACCTGTAGCTATGGGCCAAGAATGGTGGTGCACATCTGTAATCCCAGCACCTTAGGTGGCTGAGGTGGGCGGATTGCTTGAGCTCAGGAAGTTTGAGACCAGCCTGGGCAACATGGTGCATGCAACCACATCTCTACCAAAAAATTACAAAAATTAGCCATGCATGGTGGCACATGCCTTTAGTCCTAGCGTCTTAGGAGGCTGAGGTGGGAGGATCTCAGACCTGTCTCAAATACTTTTTTATTTATTTATTTATTTTCTGTCTCAAATACTTTTGGTTCACACTAGAAAGCTGCCCTTAATTGGGAGATTATCCTGGACTGTACAAATGAGCCCAATGTAGTCATAAAGGTCCTTAAAAGTGGAAGAGAGAGGCAGAAGTCAAAATAAGAGTGATTTGATATTATCAGGCCTGAACTAGACACTGTTAGCTTTGAAGAGGAAGCAAAGGGGCCATAAGCCAAGGAAAGTGAATAGCCTCTAGCAATTACAAAAGGTAAGAAGATGGATTCTCCTCTGGAGCATCCAAAAGCAGATAAAACAGGATAAGCCACTAAGTTTGTGTTAATTGTTACAACAGCCAGAGAAAACTAGGAGACTAGTATCTTTTCTAGAGGCAAAATTTCTCTCTGAATCTTAGGATATAAGTGTTTCACAGTTGCTTTGGTGCACATGATTCAAAGCCCAGCCAAAACAAGCTTTTCACAGAAGTCATCCAATCTCCTGAGAGGAGACCAAATAAACACAAGCTAGTCCTTGGAGGAAGACTTTAGGCCATGGTCTTATGGTTTGCAATATAATTCTCCAAAATGAAAGCACTCTACTGAAATGTAGTTTTCCTTGGATATTTTTCTGCTAATAAAAATTTGTTCCACAGAAAGTAGGGTAGCAATTGTGAGTTTTTTCAGTGTAAGAAAGAAAGCATGGTGGCTAGGTGTGGTAACTCATGCCTATAATCCCAGCGCTTTGGGAGGCTGAGGAGGGTGGATCATCTGAGGTCAGAAGTTTAAGACCAGCCTGGCCAACATGGTGAAACCCCGTTTCTACTAAAAATACAAAAAACTAGCCGAGCATGGTGGCGTGTGCCTGTAATCCCAGCTACTTGGCAGGCTGAGGCAGGAGAATCACTTGAACCTGGAAGGCAGAGGTTGCAGTGAGCTGAGATCACGCCACTGCACTCCAGCCTGGGCACTCCGTCTCAAGAAAAAAAAAAAAAGAAAGAAAGAAAGCATGGTTTCTAAGCTCACATCTTCAGTCAATGCCCTTCTCTGAATAAATACACAGTAAGTATGAGACAGTGAAGGAAAGAAACTGACGTTTCATAGCTACTGGTTTTTATGTTTCTTTGTTTTTGAGACAGTCTCGTTCTGTCATGCAGGCTGGAGTGCAGTGGCATGATCTTGGTTCACTCCAACCTCTGCCTTCTTGGCTCAAGAGATCCTTCCACCTCAGCCTCCTAAGTAGCTGGAACTAAATGCATGTGCCACCATGCATGGCTAATATTTGTAAATTTTTGGTAGAGATGGGGTTTCGCAGTGTTACTCAGGATGGTCTCAAACTTCCTGAGCTCAAGCAATCCACGCACCTCAATCTCCCAAGGTGCTGGGATTACAGATGTGCACCACCATTCTTGGCCCATAACTACTGGTTTTATTGCATGGATTCCCTTAATTTACTCATGGTAAGTAGGAAGAAAAACCTAGTCAATAAATTAGAAGGTTAAAAGGGACATTAGTGCAGAGGAGGAGAAGAAATTACTGTTTAATAGACATCAGTGTGCTAGCAGTTTGCTAGGTGTTTTCATATATATTATCTCATTTAATCCTCAAAAAAAGCCCAACCCTCTAAACAGGTATTATTACCCTATTTAATACATTAAAAAAAAATAAGAAAGAAAAAAAATCTTAGAAAAGTTCTACAGCTTATCCAAAATCATCAGCTAGATTTGAATCCAGGCCTGTTCACCTGTTCACCTGTCAGACTAGTCTCATTCTTTTTCAGCTGATTAGAAATACAGTCATTATGCAAGCAGACATTCCCAGTAATTCTCAACAGAAACAGTGCCCCTAAGGGTGTCTTAACATGTCCTTTTATTATTATTTCTTTTAGAGGTGGGATTTCACTCCATCACCCAGGGTGGAGTGCAGTGGTGTGATCATAGCTCACCACAGCCTCAAATTCCTAGTCTCAAGCTATCCTCCCACCTCAGCCTCTCTAGTAGCTAGGACTACAGGCACCCACTAGAACCATCACACCCAGGTAATTTTTTAATTTTTTGTAGAGACAGGGTCTTGCTATGTTGCCAAGGTAGTCTGGAATTCCTGGACCAAGTGATCCTCCTACTTTGGCCTCCAAAAGTGCTGGGATTATAAGAGGGAGCCACCGCACCGGGCTGAAATGTCACTTTAACTAGAAGAAAGACCTCTGGCATTTACTGAGTAGGAGCCACACAAGGGAAAACCGTCCCACCCCACATGCCAATACCTTTCCTATTGAGACAGGAGAATCTAGAAAGAGGGGTCTTTTGTAGGCACTCTGATAAGAATGCTGAGTAATTGGTGGCGAAAATAGAACTGGAAGAGGGACAAAGAGGATACATGATCTGCTCACCGTTCACATCCAAGGATGGCATTATTCAAATCCTCATTCACCTGAATTAGCTCAACAGTTACATCTTCATTCTCCACCACCACTAGCAGGTCCATGATCCTCTCCTGTATCTCCCGACCTGTTTTATAGAGTTTCTGTCAAAGAAAGGAGAGAGATTTCTTCTCCATGCCTGGAACATTCTATAAAGACATCTGACTCACCAATCTGTGCATACCTACAGTTGCCTCCACATTAAATCACCTGTGGGACACTAACAAAGTACTTCTATAAATGGCTCATACTTCCTATTGGAAGGCAGTGAGTCATAAACTGATTATATCTTCCTTTAAAAATCAAAATAGGTGTCATAAGAATAATATGGTACATTGAAAATAATGCTGGACTAAAACCCAGAAGTGTTATATGGGAGTTCTAGATGCAGTGCATATTAGCTGTGCCATGTTGGAAAAAAAAAAAAAAAAACATGTTTTCTAAATCTCAGTTTTCTCATTGATAAATGAAAATTGTACCCCTTGCCACATCTCCTTCAAGTGTTGACATAAAAATCAAATGAGATGTGTGTAATGAGGAACTCCATAACTATAAAGGATAAACATAAAATGTTATTGCATTATTAGTGGTAGTAGAAGTAGTTAAAATACATTTACAGTGGCATTATTTTATTTCCTGTTATGTTGTACATAAACATTTAAAGTTTATAGTTATATCACAGTTTGAGGCAAACTAAACCAGGATTAACAAACAAATCATGAATATCCTTATCTGGACTAACTAGAATTACTACATTAAACCATTAATCCACCTCCCAAACCCATGGGTTTTTTTTTCATAAGCTTCAGAGCCATCTATATCAGATGTACTGATTCAGAATCACTAGGGCTGGGGGTCTGAAAATCTACATTTTTTGAACAAGCACCCCAAAACGTTTCTTATGTACAACTATATTTAAGAACTGCTGCCTTACAACCGACCTCCTTCCAGGCACACCTTCAATTAACCTAAGGTACATAAAACTGATAATAGTATTTCTTCAATCTCACCTTGGCTAGAGTTTGTTGATGTAATAGTACATTAACATCAGGCAAAAACACAGGGATGCTGCTTCTCTCAACAAAACTTCCTTAAACACCGCACAATCACTATTGGCTTTTTCCCCTCAAGAAAGAAAGGCCTGCTGAAAAATGTATGCTTCATGAAACCATTTAGAATATCAAATAATCTATTACAAGACTGCTGACAGGAAATCTCTAAACAAATAAATCAAACTATTACCAACTGGCATTTAGACTCAGAGATAACAGCCACTGACCTCTACAAAATCAAAACAAAAATATTTAAAAGACAAGATGGCATAAAAAGAAAAAACAGTGAGTTAGACAGACGGATGATAGAGAGAATCTCTGATTTTAGACTTGTAATGTGCCACCAGAAAAACCATCTGATTTGCTAACCACAGGGCCACCTTCAGGAACAGTATAGTGCAGGGGTCAACAGCATTCATAAAGCTCCAGATAGTAAACATTTTCTGCTTTGTGGGCCATCTAGTCTTTGCTGCAACTACTCAGCTCTGCCACTGTAGTGTAAAAGCAACCCTAGAAAATATATATAAACAACTGGGTGTGGCCATCTTCTCATAAAACAGATATAGGTAGCAGGCCAGATCTGGCTCATTTATATTCCCCTGGTATAATGCAAAGAGAAAAGGCTTTGGACTCAGCAGGCCAAAGGCATCTCCCATACAATATGCCTGCTATGGAATTTGGGGAAATATGGCTAAAATTTAGTTGTAGGTTTTGTTTTTTCATCTATAATACAGGAGAATACCTTGTAAGGTTGTTGTAAGAATCAGCAATGGTGTTATTGAAATCCCACAGTGTCTGGCATACAGAGGTAGCAGGCAGTAAATGAATGTATTATGGGTGCTGTTGACAAGGTGTCACTAGAAGCTCAACTTGATAATGAATACAATCCTGTAACAAGCTATTATCCAGACCTGATCTTATACAAAGGAAAGAATTAAGAATGGCATTTAATATAACCCCATAATGAATGAGAACTTTTCCTTTGTTCTTGCTTTAGAGAGTGTACAGAAATTGTTCTCCTTGTTGCTCACTGGCAGCCTTTCTAGAGCAATGTCAAGATCAAGGGAATGCAATGGCTAATACCTACGACAAAAATGTAGAAATTAATTGGAAATGAATTTGAAGGCAACATCAATAGCCTTCAATCCCATGAAGACACACCCTTTGCCCTTTCAAGAAACAGATGGAGTGGCAACATGAAAGAAATAGCACATTTCAACAGGTCTGCAAAGCAGAATGTAAAAAACCTCTTCAAAAGCCAGCCTAACTCTGATCTTTGCAATTGATGTCTGTCTCAGAGGAGGGCCAAGCCACCTGGAAACAGCCGAGATCAAGCACCATGGACAAAAAGGATGGGTCAGAGTTCCCCATAGCAGGCACTTGCAGGGCTGTGGCAGTAGGGAGCCAGGGGGAGCAAGTCAAAATTCAGAGCAACAGCTGCTGGTGCATATGTCCATCACGGAACCCCCGAAATCGCCTCCTTTTATGCCATATAAAAGCAAAGGCAAGTTTCTAAGTTAAAGTGAATTTAACAATCAATTCAAAAGTCTTTGGAGCAAAACAGAAAGGAGCTCATTAAGAGCTTCCTCTTCTGATACCCAGATGGCTCTTATTCCTCCATAGAGCACTCAGGAATTAAGGAAAGAGATCCCTTTGCACTTTCAACTCCAACTAGTCATCCCACATTGACTAACACAGGGCAACTCAATAAAAAGAAACATAAAAATGCTTGACTATCTCCCTTGAAAGAGCCAAAACAGAAAGAAATGTATTTGCTTGAAAATGTCTCTGGAAATACTATCTGTATGGCAATATCCCTATTATCAGCTGATAACATATTTTCTTTATCCCAATATTCCCCACTCAGAGTGCAGGAAACCCCAATGTCTCTATCTGCTCAAAGTAAAAACTCTCCCTACCTACTCTGAAACTGAACATTTTTCAGCTTAACTTGCTCATATAGTCTCTTTTTCCTTACATAGGCTTCAAATGACAAATCATCAGCATAATCCTCAAGAAAATCATTAACTTTTTAAAGCCCTTCCAACTCTTCTTCCCAACTAAACAGTGTCTGCAAAAAGTACAGGATTTGGTTGCTGCCTTCAGATTGCCTCCCATACCCACATGAAAACACAATAGGTTAGCTATATATACCAGAAAATCAGTCCTGGGTTCAAAATGAGAAACTAGTTGGTCTAATGGATAGAACACAAGCTCAGGAGAATGAGGTTCTCCTTCCAGCTCCATCACTTGTCACAGTGTGGGTAAACCATTCTTTCTGCATATGCAGCCTCATGTGCATAGGAAGGGAGATGGATTCAAAGATGCTGACAGTCCCTTCCATTCTTAATACCCTACACATTTATGAATGATAAAGACAAGAATGGTCTGGGAGGATGACTTTCTTTTTCCTATTCTCAGGATTTTTTTTTTCAACTGGTTATAAATCCCCACAGGATCAAATTTTAGATTCCCTTGATTTTAAATTTCTCCAGTAAGTTAGAATAAGGCTTTCTCTAGTTATCATTTCAAAATCTGAGCTCCCTTTATTCTGAATACTAGAGCATTCTCTTCTTGTCTTACTGGGGCTAGGCAAAAAAAAAAAAAAAAGAAAGAAAGAAGAAAGAAAGAAAAGAAAGAAAGAAAGAAAGAAAGAGAGAGAGATAAGATTAAAGGAGAGGTACCAGAGAAAGTCAGCTATTCAAGATAAGAAGAAGGTGACCCAAAGCTGAGTGCACAAGACCAAGAAAGCAAATACACAAAACACAGGCTGCAACTCTTCATTCCTATGGCCAAGGTGGCTGCCTTTAACTCATCACTACACTTGTTAGACTAGATAGAGCCACAGAATCATCACATTCCACTTAGAAAAACTAAAGAAAATCCAGTCTCCATCCCTAATGAATAGTTCAAAATTTACAAGCAACACAGTGGTGGGAAAATGTGTCTACTGCATAAAATGGTTTTATTACCTATGAGTCTAACAAAGAGCAAAACCCTCTTAATTAGAAGGGCTTCAGGACCTAATTGTTCAACATGGGTTGATGGAACAGAGAGGGGATTCCAAGTAAACATATTGGATTTCAGATGAAAGAAGACAGACAAGGAATAGGTTCCAAGGAAACAGAACAGCTACTAGATGGTAAGTGTAAACAGATAAAACAGGAAGAAGTTCCAAGTATACAGGCTGGGTTTTAAATTTTTTTTTTTTTTGAGACTGAGTATCATTCTGTCACCCAGGCTGGAGTGCAGTGGTGCAATCTTTGCTTACTGCAACCTCCGCCTCCCCGGTTCAAGCAATTCTTGTGCCTTTAGCCTCCTGAGTGACTAATTTTTGTACTTTTAGTAGAGACGAGGTTTCGCCATGTTGGCCAGGATGGTCTGGAATTCCTGACTTCAGGTGATACACCCACCTCAGCCTCCCAAAGTGCTGGGATTACAGGCGTGCTCCACTATGCTTGGCCTCAGGCTGGTTTTTAACAGTAACTGATATTATAAGACTGTGGTCACTGGTGAAGTATATATACAAGAGCAGCCAATAAATTTTTGTTTTTTGAGACAACGTGTTGCTCTGTCGCCCAGACTGGAGTGCAGTGGCATAATCTTAGCTCACTGCAAACTCCGCCTCCCAGGTTCAAGTGATTCTCCTGCCTCAGCCTCCCAAGTACCTGGAATTACAGATGTGCACCACCACGCCTAGGTAATTTTTGTATTTTTAGTAGAGACAGGGTTTCACCACGTTGGCCAAGCTGGTCTTGAATTCCTGACCTCGTGATCCACCCACCTCGGCCTCCCAAAGTGCTGGGATTACAGGCATGAGCAACTGCGCCTGGCCAAGAAATTTTTGAGTGGAGGCTTTTCCTTTCTCCTGGACAACTTTCCTTTGTCCTCCAGATCCACTGTCCACACTTTCTGCCTAAACTCTGTGCCCTAGGGCCTGGCTTGTAGGGATCACATCTCCAGGTCCCCTGTCTTCTTGCTTCTGTGTTCAACCAATGTGAAGTCTTGCTGCCAGGAAACAGGAGAAAGGAAGGCGAATGAGGTCTGGATAT